GCGCTAAAGATTTGGAGGCACTATCTTTATAGCGTGTCGTGTGAGGTTTTCACGGATCATTGGAGTTTGCAGTACTTGTTCAAACAAAAGGAGCTCAATTTTAGGCAGATGAGGTGGTTAGAGCTATTGAAAGATTTTGATATCACCATCTTGTATCATCCCGGGAAGGCTAACGTGGTGGCCGATGCCTTAAATAGGAAGTCAGTGAGTATGGATAGCCTTGCGTATATTCCAGTCGGTGAGAGATCACTTGCATTAGATGTTCAGGCTTTGTCCAATTAGTTCGTGAGGTAGGATGTTTCTGAGCCCAGTCGTGTTCTAGCTTGTACAGTGGTTCGGCCTTCGTTGTTTGAGCACATCAGAGAGCGGCAGTATGATGACCCTCATTTGCTTGTCCTTAGAGACACCGTGCTACATGATGATGCCAAGCATGTTACGGTTGGAGATGATGGAGTTTTGAGGATGCAGGGTCGTGTTTGTGTACCTAATGTGGATGGACTTCATGAGTTGATTCTAAGGGAGGCCAATAGTTCCCGGTATTCTATTAATCCGGGCACCGCCAAGATGTATCAGGACTTACGGTAGCATTATTGGTGGAGGAGGATGAAGAAGGATATAGTTTCCTATGTATCTCGGTGTCTAAATTGTCAGCAAGTAAAGTATGAGCATCAGAGACCTAGTGGTTTGCTTTAGAAGGCAGAGATTCCTAAGTGGAAGTGGGAGCGTATCACTATGGATTTCGTTGTTGGACTCCCACGGACTCAGATGAAATTCAATGCCGTTTGGGTCATTGTGGATAGGCTGCCTAAGTCAACGCACTTTATTGCTGTGGCAATTACCTATTCATCGGAGTGGTTGGCAGAGATTTACATCCGCGAGATCGTCCATCCTCAGGGTGTGCTAGTGTCTATCATTTCTTTAACGAGGTACGCAGTTAAACTCGCACTTTTGGAGAGCAGTACAATGTAAGTTGGGTATGCGGGTTGAGTTGAGCAGTGTTTCATCCTCAGACGAACGGGCAGTCCCAGCGCACTATCTAGATATTGGAGGATATGCTCCGCGCATATGTCATAGACTTCGGAGGATCGTGGGATCAGTTCTTTCCCCTTGCAGAATTTGCCTACAATAGCTACCAGTCGAGCATTCAGATGGCCCCCCTATGAGGCATTATACGGTAGGTGGTGTCGGTCGCCAGTTGGGTGGTTCGAGCTGGGGGAGGCTAGGTTGTTGGGTATAGATCTAGTACAGGATGCCTTGGATAAGGTCAAGATTATTCAGGATCGACTTCGCTCAGCCCAGTCCAGGCAGAAGAGTTATGCCAACCGCAAAGTTCGTGATGTTGCATTCCTGGTCGGGGAGAGAGTGTTGCTTCGGGTATCACCCATGAAGGGTGTAATGAGGTTCGAAAAGAAGCGCAAGTTGAGCCCTAGGTATATTGGACCTTTTGAGATTTTGCAGAGAGTGGGAGAGGTGGCTTACAGGCTTGCGTTGGCACCGGGGTTCTCAACAGTTCATCCAGTGTTCCATGTGTCCATGCTTCAGAAGTATCACGGTGATCCCTCCCATGTGTTAGACTTCAGCTATGTCCAGTTGGATAATTATTTGACTTATGAGGAGGAGCCGGTGGCTATTTTAGCCCGGCAGGTTTGCCAGTTAAGATCAAAGAGTTATCGTTCAGTTTGAGTGCGGTGGAGAGGTCAACCCATCGAGGCAGCTACTTGGGAGTCTGAGTCGGACATGCGGAGTAGATATCCCCATCTATTCACCAGTTACTTTTCTATGTTCGTTCAAGGACGAACGGTTGTTTTAGAGGTAGAGAATGTGATGACCCGATAGGTCATCTTATGATTTAAACCTAATTATGTGATCTGAAACCTTTAAAAGTCATGTTTTAACCTTCTTGGATTTGTGTGCGCAGTCCGGCCATCTTTCAGGAAAGCGTTTATGCAAAAACTAATAAAAATAAGAAATTTTACCTAAAAACCTCATTTGAGTTGACTTCGGTCAACAACTTTGGTAAAAGGACCTGGATTCGTACTCTGACGGTCCCGATGGTTCTGTATCATAATTTGGGACATGGACGTATGCCCCGAATCAAATTCCGAGGAGCCTAGCTCGAGATATGGAATTTGGATGAAAAATTAAAAGTTTGAAAGTTTGATGATTTTAAGAATTGACTGATGTTTGGTCTTGTTGATACCGGGTCCGTATTTTGGTTCCGGAGCTCGGTACTGGTCCACTATAATATTTATGACTTGTTTGTCAAATTTGCTGAGAAACGGAGTTGATTTGACGTGATTCGGACGTTCAGTTGTGAAAATAGAAGTTTCAAAGTTTTCTTGAAAATTTCATTCGATTTGGTGTTCAATTCGTAGTTCTAGCTATTTTTTGGCAATTGCATCGCGCGAGAAAGTTCATATGATGTTTTAGGACTTTTGTACATGTTTGGTTTGGATCCCCGAGGGCTCGAGTGAGTTTCGGATAGGCTACGGGTATTTTGAAACTTAGAAATCTGGTTTTTCTGCAGTTTCAGGTGCCTTCTAGTTTCCTTTTTTGCGTTCGCGAAGGCACTCTTGCGAACGCGAAGTGTGAGTTGGGTTGGGGATGGTTTGTTCTACGCGAACGTGAGTCCATGGTTGCGAACGCGGAGCATTGGTGGTCTGCTCTTCGCGAACGCGACAGGCAACACGTGAACGCGTAGAGTTATTGAAGGTGTGCTCGGGATCAGTGGGCTGCTCTACGCGAACGCGAGACAAGTGTAGTGAACGCGATGCCCGGGGGGGATAGATCATCGTGAACGCATGCAATCCTTTGCGAAATCCATTCGGGCTACTACAGTTCGCGAAAGCCATTCGGGCTACTACAGTTCGCGAACGCGGCAGGCCCTTCGCGAACGCGAAGAAGGACGCCTAGACCTTAAAACAAAACCAAAACTGGATTTTACCCATTTTTCATAAACTCTCAATTAGAGCTCGGCCTAGGTGCGATTTTGAAGGGAAAACGCAACATCAATTCATAGGTTTGTATTCTTTAACTCATTTTCTTCAATTTCTATCATCACCCATTAAATTCCTAGCCCTAAGCTTTTTTCTTTCATGGTAGAAAACTAGGGATTTAGGACGAATTGGGGGGTTTTGCAAATTGGAGATTTATACCTCAATTTGGGGTCCAATTTCGAAACTAATTGTATAATCGGGCTCGGGGGTGAATGGGTGAATGGATTTTGGTCCGAACCTCGGGTTTTGACCAAGCGGGCCCAAGGTCAATTTTTGACTTTTTGGGGAAAGTTTGGGGAATCTAAATTTATGCATTGTAATTGATTTCTTTAACAATATTTGATATTATTGAGTCGTTTGTGGATAGATACGAGTGGTTTGGAGGTGGATTCAAGAGAAAAAGTTATAATTGAGCATTGAGTGGCTTGTGGAGCGAGGTACGTGTTATGTTTAACTTTGACTTGAGGGAATTAGGAATCCTCGGACTATTTGCTATGTGAAACTTATGTGAGCGGCGTATATGTGTGGTGACGAGTACTTATGCACCTCCAATTTATCTGTTTTTCCTGTTTTCACATTATCTCTTTCCTTGTCTTAATTGTTACATGCTCCAATTGTGTTCCCATGTCTAATTGCTACTTGTTAGACATTATTTTTCCTTGTTCGTGATATTGTTCTTTCCATAGTTCCATTATCTCCTATTATTTGCTTAAGATTTTTTGTCGGTTCCTTTCTGGTGTATATTCTGAATTGGTCTCGCGGTATAGTATTACTTATGTGAACTTTCACGGTGTACAAATTCCTATTTTTTTCAGTTTGAGGTTTAAGTTTTGTGAAAAGATTCTGTGACTTAAATTGTGAATTTCTGTACATATTGTGTAATTAATATTGATATGGTGGGATCGGGTTGAACGCCGCAACAAGAAGAATAAGGGTGATGTATATTGAGGTGGAATAAAGGTGATTTGATATTGAACGGTGGGAACGGGTTGCACGCCGCAACAGGTGTAATAAGGGCGAACTATTATTGTATTATTGTGATATGGTGGGATCGGGTTGCACGCCACAACACTTTTATTTATATTCACTGTCATTTATGCTATTATGAGGAAATAAGGAAGGAATATAAAATGTACGGCGGGATGGGGTTTCGCGCCGCAACAACCTATGTGTTTATGTTTTACCTGAACGGTGTTAGCCTTATGGTATTCTCTTTTGCACTTAAATATTGGTGATTTCTGAACACTGTTGATATATCTCTCGGAGTTGACATATTTCTTGCAATTTACTACTTCCTTCTATTTTGCATTTCCTATCCTGCTTTTATGATATATACTGCGTATAGGTTATAGTGTGAGTGACCCACCTTAGCCTCGTCACTACTTCGTCGAGGTTAGGCTCGGCACTTACCAGTACATGGAATCGCTTGTACTGATACTGTACTCTGCACTTCCTGTACAGATTTTGGTGCTGGTCTGAGCTGATCGTGAGGTTGGTTGCAGGATTCGTTTGATAGGAGACCCTCGGCGTCCGCAGACCCTGGAGTCCCCTTCTATACATTACACTTTACTATTTCTTTCATTTCGAAAACAGTTGTATCTCTTTCAGACTATTACTTGTAGAAAAATCTTAGAAGTTCTTGAATTGTGACTCCAGATCCGAGTAGTAGTATGTATATATTGAGGCTGTTATAAATTTCCGCACTCATTTTTAACCCGTTATAGCTTATTTGTTGTTAATTACTGAAATGTGAAAGAATTGGCTTAATGATTCTGTAACGTTGGCTTGCCTAGCAAGTGAAATGTTAGGCGCTATCACGGTCCCGACGGTGGGAATTTCGGGTCGTGACACCAATGATTGTAATTGTCGGTATTGTACCTACTTCTTCGCGGCTATCTAGCTCTCGTTCTCAGGAATCTATATCTCCTACGCCCTAGCTTCGTCTCTTAGGAAATTGGTACGTCTCCTGTTTCTTTCTGTTCGTTTATGAATGGGATGGTAAGATTGGTTTCGTAACTAGTGATATCAGTAGTTTCCAGGGGTATTACATCAAACATCTTCAACCCTAAAATCATTAGATGTAATTTTGAGATGAAAGTTTTAAACATATAACTCTTCAGATGTGTTGTGCAGATTATTTCAGCAATTTCTGGAGGAGTTACTGATTTTTTCTTTCATATCATTGGTTAAACATTGCTATTTTTAGTTGCTTTTTGACAGCATCATATTCTGTAATGACATTTTTTTCTTGTTGTGTTTCTCTTATGTTCAAATATATGTGGGCTCAAAAGCAAATAAATGTGTTCGTCTCAGCGCCCTCATTATATTGACTATTGGACAATCCAAGTATTTTTTTCTTGTAGTTTCTCTATCTATTCTTAGTTTTGTAGATTTAATTACTTCCGAGCTGAAGAACATTTGCCTTTTTATCAATTTTCTATTGTAATGCCAGTGTAATCTTTGTTGCACTTATAATTCTTTTATGTTGTTTCTAATTCAGGCTGGAGTTGAAGTGAGGAAGAGCTATAATTCTGTTATTTGGTGGTAGTAAGTTTCTTTTCATAGACTCATTCCTTCTCTCCTGTTGCCTTTCTCGATTTAAAATATTTTCTTCTCAAGGACTCAATCCTTCTCTCCAATTGCCTTTTCTCGATTTAAAATGTTTGAGGTGTCTTGTTGAACAAAGAAACTTTGATATCCTTTTTAACTTTACTCTTTTAGGGTGCTGTATTACTTGCCATTTCCTTCTTCTATGAAAGTAAACTTTGTGAAATTCATAATTTTCTTTGTAGTTGTTTAGATGGTAGGTCTAAATCAAAAGGGTATGATAACATGAATTTATAGAAGACCAACATTTGTGTAAATTACTTTTAAATTATTCATTAGTTGGTTTCATCAATAAGTGTTTGATGTAGATTAGTTGAAGTCCACATATGCAAGTCATTTGAGTAATTTGATCTAATTAACTGTAGCTTAGGCATGAAGAGCTGTGTTCTGATTTGAGAATAATAGAGGTGAACTTTGATTAATCAGTAGAAGAAAGTCAATCTTTGAGTTGCTATATACCATAATTATTTTCATCTATCTATATAGTACTCAATTATTGTAATAGATGTACATCGTTAGTTCAAATAATAATTGTAAATATACTTGCTGCAGATAGTAGAGGTTTGTTATTAGTTAATACTTGCCATGTAAATTGAATAATATAAAATAGGGTAACCCATTCTAGATAGGATATTAATCCTCTTGTTCTTTCTTGTTCCTGTTAACAAATTTTATAGTAGCCGTGGAGTACTTTTTAACTTATGTATTTGGGAGGAGGGGGGATTAAAGAATAAAGAAGAAATTCTTCCTCATCATCAGTCTCTATACATAGCTACTAAGACTGTTTCATCTGTTCATCCTACTGCCAGTGTGGTAAGCTTCTGTGACTTTTCTTTTGTTGCTTATGAAATTTACTACACATATTTGATGTATATTTTCTTTGTTGATACTCTCTAGTCTACTTTATCATCTACTATTGTTGTGTGTTTTATTAGCACAGATCAAACTATAGATAGTATTAGAGAAATTGTATAAAAGAAAAAGAAGAATGAGATATGTTGATCACAAGAGTCCTACTTAATATTGCAAATTTGATTTTATAATAAGGATATTAAGGTGAAAGCCTTATTTATAGCATTAGATATATTACAAATAGAAGGTTCTGAATTATATAGCTAAATGCTATATAAAGACTAATCAAAGAAGTAGTTACAGGGAAAGCTTGCTTATAGAGTTATCTAGATGCTTGCAAATGTAAATGTAATGTTAAGAACATGAATAAATAAGTAACAGGTAGCTTCAATTTAAAGAATGGTAAATTATCTTTCTTATAGTCATTTGATTGCAATTGTGCAACTAAAATTGAATTGTAATCATTTTAGGTGCTATATATTATGAACTTCATTACCCTTTTCTTTGTTCTGTACCTCTGAAAAGTTTCAATTTCTATGTTATTCAAGGTGACTGAATTTTCTATAAGTTTGCAATGGCACTTGGAAATACTCATCTTTTTTGGACTTATTCATCGTAGAGGTAAGACATAATTGCTGATATTTAGAATGTTTGAGCTACATAAGTCATCGACTGCCTTAGTAATTAGTACTTTATGTTTATATTCATAGAGAGAAAAAGTAAATCAAAAGGCCATCTACTGAAAATTGTTTATTGTACATATGGAGATGATTAGTGACAATTTCCCCCGGCAGTGAGAAAAGAAGTTTTTATTGAATGTTGAATACCCTAAAAAGTAAAATTTCTCGCACTCATGATATGTACAACTTCAATTTCTGCCATCTTTCAAGATGATGCTAGATTTTTCTCAAACTCTTTCATGCACAATATCATGTTATCGAAATGAAGCCTTGCTTTCATTCATTTTTTTTTTTCCAATTTCAGAGACAACATTGTTTATAATGGGAATAGTTGGCAAGGAGTTTGAAGATAGTATCTTGTGATTCTTTTGTTTTCATGTGTAGATACCTTGACATGTATTTATGAAGTGTTTTTTTTGTATTATGACCTTTAAGTAATGGAAAGTTCTTATATTACTCTTCTTGAGAAATGCATGTGGTGTTGTCTTGGTATTGGTAATGGATAACTGTTATATATTGGATAATTAATAGTAAAATAGATTATTTTTTTTTTTAATGAAAATTTAGTATCTGTGGTGACCCTTAGTCGCCTCTAAAAGGGATACAGAAAAATGAAGTTCTCTGTTGCGGCGACTTAAATGTCGCTACCAAATTATTAGTGGCGACTGTTGTCGCTTCTAAAGCCCTCTTTTCAGTGGCGACCCACCTGAAATCCCTCTTGTGAATTGTTAATTGTGGCGTCTATGTTTACTTGTAGTGGCAGGTTAAGTCGCCACTAATGGCACATTTTTGTTGCGACCTTCGGGAGTCGCCACACGAAACATTACTTACACAAGTACTTGCAACAATCCTGTTGTCGCCACTAAAAACATGTAGCAGCGACATTCTAGTCTTTTGTAGCGACCTTTGGCGCCACTAAATGCCTGATTTCTTGTAGTGCACACAACTCACTGTAGAAGAAAGTATAAAAATAAATAAAAGATGAGTTGTATAAAAGGGATGAGCAGATGAGAATCCTAAAGGAGGATCCAGGCAACGTCAAGCATGAGCTAGACATAATTTGTAAATGGAACAAATCCCCCGATGCACTATCATGGCTACAGGAACACCATAGTAGCAACAAAAGAGGACTAGGCTTTGGGAATCTGGTCTGATTGAGGACTCGGCTTTGCATCAATTAGGTCTGATCATGGTACTGAATTTGAGAATGCTAAATTTGCTGAATTTTGTGATGAGCATGGCATAGATCATAATTTGTTTGCTCCTAGGACTCCACAACAAAATGGAGTAGTTGAAAGAAATAATAGGACACTTGAAGATATGGCTAGGACTATGCTTCTTGCTAGTAAATTGTCCCATAGTTTCTGGGCAGAAGCTGTGAACAATGCATGTTATATCATAAATAGGTGCATGACTAGACCTCCTGGAGAGAAGACTCCATATGAGTTACTTAAAGGGAGAAAGTCAAACATATCCCATCTTAGGGGATTTGGATGCAAATATTTTGTGCACAATAATGGTAAAGACTCCCTAGGTAAGTTTGATCCCAGAAGTGATGAGGGAATATTCTTGGGATATTCCTCACATAGTAAAGCTTATAAGATTTATAACAAAAGAACTATGTGTGTAGAAGAAAGTATACATGTGATTTTTGATGATACTAACGTTCTTTCTGAGAGGCAGGAACGCAATTAGGCTGGTGAGAAACTAAAATGAAACCACAACCCAGACTGAAGCTGCATCGAAGTAGGAACAGGTGATGGAACAAGTCCTTCCACCCAGGGCAACTTTACAGGGGGAACTGAACAAAGAGGAAATTATCCTCAAACCTCAAGGGAACCTATCCATGAACATGTTCCTCAACAACAAAACATTGAAGGAACATCTAGTGAAAACCAGCTGGTTGTGAAACCTTACAAGTATCACATTTCTCGTCCCATTGAGAACATAATCACTGATCAAACCTCTGGAATTAAAACCAGATCTTCTTTGAAGTATCTTTGTGCTTTTGATGCTTTTTTATCTCTTACCTAAAAATGTTGTTGAGGCTTTGCAGGATGCAAACTAGGTAAAAGCAATGCAAGATGAACTCAACCAATTTGAGAGAAGTCAAGTTTGGCATCTGGTACGAAGACCCAAGGACAGATCAATAATTAGTACAAAATGGGTCTTCAGAAACAAACTTGATGAAGATAGAACAATTATAAGGAACAAGGCAAGATTGGTAGTTCAAGGATATAGTCAAGAGGGGGGGAGGGGGTGCATAAAATATGATGAGACTTTTGCTCCTTTTGCAAGATTGGAAGCAATTAGAATCCTCATAGCCTTTGCTGTTTACATGGAATTCACTCTCCATCTGATGGATGTCAAGAGTGCCTTCCTCAATGGCTATCTAAAGGAAGAAGTGTTTGTTAAGTAACCTCCGGGCTTTGAAAGCAAGGAAAGTCCTGATCATATATATAAGCTTGATAAGGCACTTTATGGGCTAAAGTAGGCTCCAAGAGCATGGTATGAAAGATTATCAAAATTTTTGCTTGAGCATGGATACAAGAGAGGTAAAATTGACAATACTTTATTCTTGAAAGAAAAAAGATAAATATCTCTTGATAGTTCAGATATATGTTGATGATATAATCTTTGGAGTAACTATTGATAAGTTAAGTAAAGAATCTGCTAAACTAATGGGGAGTGAATTTGAAATGAGTATGATGGATGAGCTTAATTTCTTTTTAGGCTTACAAATTAAATAAAATTCAAATGGAATTATAATCCATCAGCAGAAGTATGTGAAAGAGTTGCTAAAAAGGTTTAAAATGGAAGATTCCAAAGAAATTGGCACTCCTATTTCAACAACCACAAAATTGGATGTAGATGAACCTGGTTCATCTGTTAATCAGAAGTTGTATAGGGGAATGATTGGCTCTTTGTTGTATCTCACTGCTAGCAGACCTGACATTATTTTCAGTGTAAGCCTATGTGCTTGATTTCAGGCAAATCCAAAGAAGTCCCACTTAACTGTTGTCAAGAGGATCTTGAGATACCAAAAAGGCACCATTGACCTTTGTCTATGGTATCCAAAAGGTAGTAATTTTAATCTAGTGGGATATGTTGATGCTGATTATGCAGGTTTTCTTGCGGATATAAAGAGCACTTCAGGTATGGCACACTTTCTTGGCTCATATCTTGTGTCTTGGGCCACCAAAAAGCAAAAATATGTGGCCTTATCTACTGGTGAAGCTGAGTATGTTGTTGCTGCCTTGTGTTGTGCTCAATTGTTGTGGATCAAACAACAATTAAGGGACAATTATGAAAAGGGTTTGATCACTATAGAATTTTGTGCTACTAACAAGAAAATAGCTGACATCATCACAAAATCTCTAAGTAGATATTATTTTGAAAGAAACAAGTTAAAATTAGGGATGATTAAGATCACCTAAACGGAATCAGTTCTAACTCAAAAATTGGTAAGAAAAATTGCGAATTTTTGTATATATTTAGATTAGATTTTGCTCAGTCTCATACTTTCATCAGTATACTCTTGTTCCAAGTGCTAAAATGACTCATTAAATCTCTAATGATATTATCTATTTTTTTTTTGGAAAATTCTGACTTACACAAGAGCTTTCTCAATGAAGAACCTGGTTCATCAAGCTTACTCGATACGTATTCTCCACTCTGCATATTTTGAAATAATTATATTTAGATTATGATCAAGAGGAGAGTCCCATTCAATCCTAAACCCCTCGATCTTATCAGTTATGAAATGGACCAGTTTCATTTAATAGAGTCCAAACCACAGTAAGTACCTAAATTATAGGGACACTCTTCAACCTCTTTTCAAACTGAATTCCAGTTTGATTAGACTTCTGCAAAGGGTGACGTTACCCAAGAAAACACTTCCACTTTAAATTGATTAGGCCCCAGTTGCTTCCTCACTTCTCAATTCTCAAGCCTTAAATAATTTCTCTCTTCTTTCATCTTCCAAAACACACACAAACCTATTTTTCTCAAAATTCCAAAACACATAAATAGCTAACCCTTCTGAGAATCCCTTATCACCACCCAAAGAAATTATACCCACACCATCTATCACACCTTCAACTACTCCCATCTCTAAGAAAAGAATAGTCAAGATGCTTGCTCGCAAGGTTGTTGCGGGTAAAGAACAACTCAAGAAAATTAATGAAAAATTTGAAGCAGGTCGAGAAGAAGAACCCCAGAAATCTGATGAATCATTCAAGTCTGCTACTGAGGGGGAAGAAACGGTTTCTTCTAAAACATAGCAAGTAACTTCTAGCGCTAAAGTTAATTTCTCAAACTATATCTGAGGTTTCTACAAATCTGGAGACTAGGTTTGTTCTCGTAGGAATTATGGCAGGTGTTAAAGTTACCGAGTCTGGAAAGCTTGGTCGTAAAAATGAAAAGAGAAAAGAAAAAGAGAGTGAGGGTGCTCGAAGTGTTGTGAGGGGTATGTGAAAAGGAATGGTTGATTCTTCACCCACTCCTATTGGTTTAACTAAAGAATGAGGTGTTATGGTAGTTTGGAGTGAGGAATCTAATGGAGAAGAAGAGAGTGTGAGAAAAACAGAGGGAAGTGGGTCTAGAGAAGCTGCTGAAGGGTTGGTACGATTAGGGAAAATGCTCAAGAACCTATTCCATCTGAGCAGGAAACCCGAGCAGACCTACTAAAAAGGATGACTGGCAGTTACAATCCCAAAAAGAAAAGGAGTTTAGGAGTAAAATTTCCTGGAACTGCTAGGGAAAACAAGAAGAGAAAGGTTGTCTCTTCTATCCCTGTAGAGATTCCTCCTAAAAGAGGAAGAACTGTAAGGTGTCAGAAGAAGAAGAGTGAGGCTGAACTGGAAAAGGCCTTAGAAGAAAGTAAGAGAAAAGCTGATGCTAAAGGGAAAAAGGTGGTTGATCTTGTTAAGGCTATTGAAATTGACGAGATAGACCTGGTTCTTCAGGATGAAGAAAAGACAGAAGTAATGAAGGTTGTGACTCCAAAGGCAAAGAAAGCCAAGACTTTCTCAAAGAAGTCTGTTTCAAAAACAAAGTCTGCGTAGCCATCCACTTTGGCTAAAAGAACCAGGTCTGCATTGAAACCAAGAAAAGTAAAAATAGTGGAGGAAGAGGAATGTAGTGGAGAAGAACAAGGAAAAGAATCTGATGCTGAGAAGGACAAGATGGTCAAGTTTGGGAAGAGAACCATCTTGAAAGGCAGATTCCTGAGGGACTTGTAGGAGGAAGGCATGTTACTGCTGCTGGAGAAGTTACAATTGCAAGGTTGGAAGGACATGGTCCTTCAGATGGATGGAAGGCTGGTCAGAACTGAGATTGTGGAGTTCTCGGTAAACTGTGAGATCAAAGATGGTAGGGTCACCAGTGTGGTAAAGGGGGTGACAGTGAATTTTCATGATAAAGAACTGGGAGAGATATTAGGTGTACCTACTGAAGGGTATAATGATTA